AAAACCTCTGACGGTTGTTGTTTAAAACTAGATAAAGGAATAAAAGAGGTCGTTCCAAGCACATGGGCTGAAATAGGACACACTCATCTTTCCTGACTCTGTGACTCTGATATAAAATATAATTAAACTTATTTTCTATTTGATATACAAATACATAGTAAAACTACTTGAAATTGCCATTTATTGTGTACCAAAGTTGAAAAACCACACAGTAACATAAATCATAATCTTTTAAGTCATTGCACCCCCCCACACACACACACAAACCCACAGATAACGATTTTATTGCACGAAGACATCCTTTCAGAAAAACTGGAGGATTTTCAGAGAAAGTAAACACAAAGCCTTTTTCCTGCACAGGAACATAAGCAGCATTATTTCCCTGCAGTAATAAAACTCTTTGTGTTTCCTTCATGGTGACAGGCGTGTCCCCGACGCCCCCTCCCAAAGTAATTCAGCCGAGTGCAGCCATCCCCGCTCCTCTGCAGCACACGGCAGAATGGACTTGTTTTCTGTCAATAGTAAATAAATTCAGTGCAGACAGTAGATTGACCGGTCAGAGCTAGCTGTAAATTTTAAGAGGGTTTTATTTTCATCGACTCAGTCGGCTGCTGGCGACCTCACAGCCGACTTCACCTGAAGTCAAAATGCAGCAGTTTTGCAGTAAAATTATGCATTTACTAAAATAATGCATGCTTTACTGCTGCAGCCCTTAATACAGCAAGACTAAGAGCGTCTTCAGCGTTTTTTTAATCAGTGATGCTGTCATTGAAGCATCTGCACTCTAACTTTTGTGACGTACATTTCAAGAACAAACGAAAAAAATATATATTTTTGTTGAAAATTTAAATTAAAATGATCACAAGACATATAAAATTTGAATTTGAAGGCAACAGCACTGACTAAAGATCTTCTTACTTTCTTTACATTGATGTGAAGGTATAGGCTTTTATGACATCCTGACCAGATGTGTCCAGAAGTGATTAACTGATATAAACAATCAAGTTGCATGATCAAAACAACACATTTAAATGTCAAATGATGAATGTCTTCGATGTGCTCCTTCACTGGATATCTGGAGACATGAAGACTTACCTTACTTTCCACCGTACACGTCACAACGCCGTATAAGTCGCTTCAGTCCTAAAAAATCTAATTAAGTGAAAAAAAAAACATAAATAAGTCGCATCTATTATGTGGCACCGCTGACAACCCAGAAATGTGGGCCGGTGTTCGATTGGCTGCCAAATGGCGGCCGCGGGAGCATGCACGAGAGGACTTTAACAAGAATTTAACAAGCTTAACACTTAAAAACAATTATTTGTTTGCTTGAAATTATAGTAAAGATGTGTCTCAGTTGAACTTTTCCTTAATAAATGCACTTTATTGGTCAAATCAGCTGCATTTCGCCTGGGCGGCGCAGCGAGATGAAGCTGATTTGATGTTTGCTCCAGGAGTTCCAGAATGAGGCGAAGGTGGCTCTGTATGGCAAGCCAAGTGTCTCATTAATAGCCACCTTTACCTATTATTGAGACACTTTGCTTGTCATAATAGTCGAGGGCCCCCTAGTGGCTGAAAATGGTAATGTTTAATATTTTCCATGTCAGAATGAATGAAATTGTCAGATCTCAGCCAAAAATTGGGTTATAAATGTGAGGGAAAAACTGTATATTAGTCGCTTCGCTGTATAAGTCACAGGACGTGCTAATTTATGCAAAAAGGTGCGACTTATACAGTGAAAAATACGGTAATTGAATATGTTTTTGAGCATTGGGTTAAACAGGACACAAGTCAAGTCAACTTTATTTATAGAGCACATTTAAAATAGAAGCTGTTACCAAAATGCTTAACAATAACATCAATGAGAGTAAAATTAATGGAAAAAATAACACACACTAATGATACAGTACTGAAAAATTAATTAAAAGCATTATCGGTAAATTTAAAAAAAACATAAAAACACAGAACAAAAAACACGAAATCAACTGTGTGAAATGCCAGAGAAAACATGTTTTTAGCAGAGATTTGAACAAAAGGGAGGTGGCCTGCCTAATGTTGGGGGGCAGCTTGTTCCAGAGTTTGGGGCCCATGACTGAAAATCACCTCTGAGCTTCAGGCTTGTTTTTGGAACAGCCAAAAGCAGCTGATCAGATGATCGCAGGGCTCGAGAAGGAACATGTGGCTCCAGTAGCTCAGAGAGATAAAAGGGTGCGAGGCCATTTAGGCACTTGTAGGTCAACAGGAGAATTTTAAAATCTATTCTAGTATGCACAGGGAGCCGGTGAAGGGAGGACAGAACTGGTGTAATATGCTCAAACCTGCGTTTTCTGATTAAAAGCGGAGCAGCAGCATTCCGGACGAGCTGGAGACGCGAGCTGGAGGCCTGGCTGACCCCAGCATAAAGTGCATTACAGTAGTGCAGTCGGGTCGTGATAAAGGCATGGACTAGTTTCTCAAGGTCGGGTCTGGACAAGACTGGCTTAAGCTTAGCTACCTGCCTTAATTGGAAGTAGATTTGTATTTGGGCAACGGCTGAACTAACGTCCATTTGGGCTTTTGATGGATCGCTGCCTGGCAGTATAGTCCCATCTGAACTTAAATGAACTTTTTTTTTTACCTCTTTCAAGGCCGGTCAGCGTGCGGTCTAATGGCTGCGTGCGGCTGGTGAAATTATGGCAAGCCATGTTGCCATCTAATTGGATCGTCAGCCAATAAAAAAACGGCACCGACCTGGCCCGCACATTAAGCACATTATTATAGCCCTGCCCTAATCTGGGTCGGGCCAGGCTCCGGGTTCGGGTTAGCAATGACAGCTCTAACTGGAAGAAGCTTTTCTGCAGAACAGATGATTTGTTTGTCAAACTTGAAGTCAGAATCTAAAACTACCCTGAAATTTTTAACAGACTGATAAGATATGGCTGAAGGGAGGGACAACGTGCATCACCGTTAAGATTTTGAGCTATTTTTGTCGTGATACGTTTTTGTGTGTAGCACTCACAGGATTCCTTTTTGTGCTGAAAAGCAGAGATGCTGCCAGAAATACATTTCTACTGAAATAACCCGCACCTGTGTCTCTGACTAACAGCACTGCCAAATTTTAGGGATGCTAAATCAAACATTTAGTGCTTTAATGCACACAAATATCAGACTAACACCGTCGCCTAAAGCAACAGCAGTAATTTCTAAAAGTAAACATTAAACTGATGATTCTTTTAACGCCTTTGTACAAAAAGACACCAGAAACCATTCATGCGCCTCCATCTTCATCTCCATCATCAGAACCCTGTTTATCTCTGTTCCCACTCTCCCAAAAGTTACTCCCACACAAAAGTCCTTGTGACTGTGCTCCACCCACTGCCCACACCCCTCCACCCATGCACAGCAACAATAAAGTCCAACAAACACAAACATTTTCCAGTTTCATGCTGACGGGAGGACAGAGGGCCCCTATCCCGTAACCATGGAAGTGACATACCCACACGTCCTGCCTGAAGTTACTATCTAGGCCAACAGTCATCGGGTAAATTCTTTCACTGCTCTTCCTTTCTAACTGTGCCATTGACTTCAAATGCAAACATTCACTTAGGGGGTGTTTGCAAATGGCACAGGCCTCAGGGTCTTGTTTAAATGTGTGTGAATGAGAACATCTATATCTCACCAAGTGTGTGTGTGTCTGTATGGGTGGGCACTCTCAAGTGTGGTTGTGACAAAGAGGCACAGAGCGACGCCCCAGGATGCCTCGGTGCAGCCAAGTCGATGATGCCATGCAAAATTAATGGGGCTAAGAGGCTGGAAAACAGAGCTCGAATGGACTCTGCCATCAATTTTTCCCCCTCTGACCTTAATTAAATGCAGATGAATTAAAGTGAAACCACTAAACACGATGTTTTACCCCTCCAGCAGCTGCTTGGGTATGTATGACGGTGGTACGCACAAATAATCAGCCAGCGTGGACTGTTTATTTTGTTTTAGTTTTGGGGAAAAGACGGCGGAGATGGGACGGTGTTCTGCATGAGCGATCGTTTCTGTTCACGGGGTGCACTGCGTGAGTCTTGCATGTGCATGTGCATGTGCTTCCTGGGGAGAGAAGGGGCGGTTGACGATCGCTCATGCAGCTCATCTCGGTACCTCCCCGGATAAACACACCAAGCCAGCCGAACATGGTGATTTTCAAACAGCGGCGCGTTCAGGCAACAAAAATGGCTGCTGTTGAACGTTTTTTTTGACGATGGCTGAACCCTGATTGTTGTGAACATTTGTTTGCAACGTTTATGGTCTTCGAAAGTTTAAAAGACTTTAATATTAGACATAATATTGCGTTCCAACATCTTAAAATACAATGACATTAAGAAATATCCCAATGAAACAGTAATACCCAACACTTTGCATATTTTAGTGTCAGGTTCAGGAAGTTAAAGTGAATTTTTATTAGTGAGAGATTTAATTGGTTTCAGTTCACTTTATTTGTTTGGAAATCCACCGTCCAATTCTTTACATTGATAAATCTGAATATTTATTTCTGTAAGCTATAACTAACAGACACCCAACCATCAATATTTCATTTTTCACACATGTGGCCTTTCAAATTTTCTCCGCTATAAAATCTGTATGGTGCCGCACAGACGGGATCAGCCGCAGCCGTTGTTCACAGCATCAGGCGTCACTTAATCAGTGACTAGTTTTTAAAAAATAAAGTCACTAAAAGTGAAAAGATTTGCAGCAGAACCCATCAAAGTATAGAAACACCATGGTGGATGTTTTTAAAGCGTGAATATGGAACATGGCATTTATTTTTGTGCATAAAGTTTTATCTTTGCTTTTATCAAAACTTTTACCAGATAAAAAATATGTAGGCAAAAAAAGTATATATTTTTTTATTATTATTATATTCCTTATTTTGTGCAGAATGATAAATGAATATAAAGTATGTTTTTCTCCATGAAGCTAATTATACTTTATGCCCCGCCCCCCAACCCCTCCACTTCCGTTCACACTTTTAGGATGATCCTCATTCCCAGAACAAGCTGGAGGACCCAGTCAAGGCCCCGCCCAAGGAAGACGACGCCCTCAACATCCACAACTCTCTGACCCCCAAACACGAGAACCACAAGGTCCTGGGCGAGGAGAACTCCTCGGAGGTAAACTCACTGCAGAACAACATGATGTGAACCAAAACTAAACGCCGAGCAACCTGACAACACCACACAGAAAACTACAAGGTGCACCGGCAACGGGCGTCCCTGCAACCCCCCTGCTTTTAATTGCCCGTTGCCGAGTGAGCCTAACCGGTCAACCAACCAGCCTGCCAACAAACCAGCCAACCAACTCAGTCTGCAACTGTCTCTGACACGGCACCACTGCCACGAGCGGCCAAAACCCGTACACCGCCGCCCCTGTCCACCCCACCCCAGCTGAAAGTAACCCCACCCAACCCGCCTCACCCTACAGCATCCTTACATTAGACCACACCCCTGTTTTGAAGCTCCGCCCCTCTCATTTCTATCACCACGCTCTTCCTGTTCTTTTTCACCCGAACACACACGCACACGACGCATACGCATACTGTGAAAAGATGAACACACTTATATGTAAACACTCACCCCCACCCCCCACCCCCCTCCCCACCTGCCTGCATTGGTGTATTTTGTAAAAAGAAAGAAATCATACAGAAGTTTAAAAACGTGGGTGAAAAATTGTTGTAAAAGAAAAAAAAAAGATAATGCTACTGAGAGTTTTTGATGTTTGTCTGACTAATCCAGTGAGTATGTATAAATATTGGAAAAAAAAAAAAAAAGTTTGCTTGGATTCATTTAAAGGAAGCAACACAATGTGTCTTGGTTTTGATTGATGTGGTTTCTAATCCTTTGATGTACTTGGTTTTTTTTTTTTGTACTTTTTGGAACTTTAGACAAAGAACAAACAAATGAAATTCAGACAGTTGTTGAAATAAATCCTTTTTAAAATGACCTCTCTGGATCCTGTGTTTTCCTCCGTGTCCTGCTTGTTCCTTCCCTCTGGAATCCGACGCTCTCTGCATGGCTTTGAACGCAGCTTCTTCAGTCCCGGCTGTCGTCCGTGTGTTTCTACGCTGGCTCAAACTTAGGCCTCAATGACGTCTGACTTCTTGATTTCCACATCTAAAGTTAAAAAGTTAATTTACCTTTTGATTTACTTCAGATTATTAGAATAACCAACAAAGTTCAGTCAGGTCATAGAGTTTCTTTTTTTTTTTTTGAGACGTTTCATCCTTCATCCAAAGGACTTCATCAGTCCGAGGAGCCACAACAAACTGAGTCCCACAAGCAGCACAACTACATAGTAGACCAACCAGTTTGCTGGTGATAAGATGGTTTCTGGGGCCCACCCTCTCCCCCGTCGACTCCTCTGGGGCAGTCAAAGTGGTTCAAAACATCAAAGTTCATCTGGATGGTTTCTTTTTTTTGTTATTTTTGAGATATTTTGTCCTTCATCCAAAGGACTTATTCAGTCAGTGGCGCCACAACAAGCAGCACACTCATGTAGTGGACCAACCAGTTTGCTATAATGATAAGGACTGATGATGTCCTTTGGATGAAGGATGAAACATCTCAACAAACAAACAAACAAAAGAAACCATCCAGATGACCTGATTGAACTTTGTTGGATTTTCTACCTGGATTATTGAGCATGAACGTTGATGTTTGGAACCACTTTGGCGATGGCTGTCACAGAGGAGATGACAGGGTGGGCCCCAGAAACCATCTTATCAAGAGCAAACTTAGTTGGTCCACTATGTGAGTGTGTTGCTTGAGGGACTGAGTTTGTTGTGGCTCCTCGAACTGATGAAGTCCTTTGGATGAAGAACGAATCGTCTCAATTTAAAAAAATAAAATAAACCGTCCAGATGAGCTGACTGAACTTTGTTGGATTTTCTACGTGGATTATTGAGCATGAACTTTAATTATTAGAATAAATTTTGAACTTTAAAGACTTTTCTCAGCTCAAAACTGAGATGTGCGGAGCTGCAAGGTGTGAAAACTGCATGCGACTCCGAACATTTTAGTTCTGGATTGAGAAAGGCTTTTAAGTACAGAAGATAAGTTTAGTTGCTTTGATTTTAAATTCTTAGTAGCAGGTTGAGGTACAATTTTAAAGGAATTAACATAATTCTATATTTATATATATGTATAAAACGTGATAATATATTGTACGCTTCTGTATAAAGTGTAAAATCAAAGTAAATACCAAGTCCGAGCGCTCACAGTACCTCAGCTCAAAGTCTGACTTGCTCCTAAAACTTGCAGCACATTTCCCTCAGCTGCCTTTTGGTCATGAACATTTGGTACCAATCATTTTTATTTAGGCATAATTTCAGCTTGAGTCACACTTTGAACTTCCCAAAGATTTAAACAATATCCAGATTAACTTACCGACAGATCACTGATGAGTCATTTTCACAAATAAACTTGACTAACCTCAGTCATTTTCTCTTATTTTTAGGTTTTACAGGTTAGTAACGTTCCTTATGAGTGAAATTCCAACAATGTTCACGAATGGGGGTTTTGTAACATCGACTCTGCCTCACTGACGTCACATTTAAGGATAAATATCAAATTATAATTGTGCATTCTGCCTAGGAATATAATAGGAGGGATGGACAACAAGAACTTGAATTTCATTATTTCTGAACTTGTCAGTTTTTAAACCTCTAATAAGAATTTGCTGTTAAAAAAAACTAAAGTAAAAGAGTGACATCCTGCTGCCAAACAGTCTGATTTAAAACTAAACTGGGTATAGATTTTTTAAGATATATTTCTTACCAAACTGAGGATGCACAAACTGTCCCACCTGATCGGTGAAGGAGGAAATCAGGAGAAAAGCATCAGTCTTACAGGAAGTCTGGCAAACATTTAATGGGGAAGTTGCTCATATCTCTATGAAAGATGGACGAAAAGAGAGAAATCAGCAAGTCCATGATGTGACTGAGGTTTTCTGCCTCCGATGGCTCTCCTGTTTGAGAAATAGTAAGTGCAGCACATAAATCATGACAACAAACACCAAGACGCAGTCTGCTGCTTCTGCATGTTTCCTTCCTCCAGAGAGGCTTCGGCTGTGTTCAGCTGGTCACACACTCGCTGACATTTCTAAAGCTGCAAATAAAATCACTTCTGAGTGCACATACAGAGTTTAAACAGAATGAGATGAATACATCGGCAGCAGGCTTCTACGTTTGGTTGTTAAACATCAACAATGTGCTAAATCCGTTGTACTATTTTATGAAATGAAATTATCACAGCAACTGATGGTTTAAGTTTTTTGGAAACGCGAGGTTTACAAATGCAGAGGAAACACAAGTTTCAAGTCATTCCAATCAAGTAACAATTCAATTCAGTTTATTTCTATAGCACCAATTCACAACTGAAGTTGTCTCAGGGCACGAACAGAAACTTTCACGTAAAAAGCCGATCAATAAAGTTCTCTATCTAAGGAAGACTCGTTGAATCTTCACTTCGTCGCAGTCTCCCGTCCTGAGCAAGCACAAAGGAGACAGTGGAAAGGAAAAACTCCCTTTTAACAGGAAGAAACCTCCAGCAGAACCAGGCTCAGGAAGAGCGGCCGTCTGCTTCGACCAGCTGGGTTTGAGAGGACAGGAAACAAACGAACACAGACTGACAGGTCCAAGTGGACTTTCTATAGAAGGAAAGACAAAAAAAACATGTCAAGGATAGAAAAAAATACCAATACAAAACAGGTAGAACTACAAAACAGGTAGAACTACAAAACAGGTA